TTGTAATCAGAGATTAGAGCTCAATAAGCACATAATTTATAATTTGATGAAAAAACATTGTTAGTTTTAAAAATTATTTGTGCTCGCGAAGTTCTCATCTCTCGAAAACAAGAGTCACAATATCATGAAATACGCAATTATTTTGCATTGTATACTTGTTAATACACATAGATATATATATATATATATATAGTTTGTTCAATATTTTATACACTTTAATGTATTTTACACCATTGCTCCCTTTTCTATCTTCCTTCTATCGTCCTTCATTATTTCACACATTATTTTATTATATATATATATATTGATCATTCTTCAAATGATTTGTATCAGTTTCCTATCATTTTGAAACCACAAATCCATAAAAATTATATCCCATTGTAAAATTCTTTTAAAAATAAGAATAAAAATTTGATTCCATGATTTTATAGATTAAAATTCAATTGTCATATTCTTAAGCTTTGATCCATTGTTCCACATATTCGAGCGCACCCTGAAGAATTCTCTTCTCTGTTACTCTTAATTGAATGGCTAATTTCTTAATTTGTGGTAAAGTCGTTTCAAGTAATTGTAGATCTTCCTATAAAACAAAAAAGAGAAAGAAATATATTAAAACAAGAGAATTGTTATTTTCATGCCGATACGACGTTGCTTTTTCACACTAATGTTTTATTTCACTTTCACCTTCAGAGTCGTCGGATAATTAGCAATTAACAATTGCAGCCTAGTGAGCAGAAATTTTCTGACATTCTCTTCAACGACAGTTTCTAATGCACAGTCCATGTGTTTTAAATCATTAACACGATCCGATCGGATCCAATGAGCCAATTCCGCTTTACGCATACTGAATACTCTAAGAAATGCCAATAGCAAGTCAGAAATCGGTTCTGTTCCTAGTTTCAATAAAAATTCGCCAACTGTCGGCAAATCCAATTTATTTAATAATTCTATACGTTCTTTCTGAAGAGAATCAGCTTTGCTAATGCCGAGTCGTAACTTAAAACCATCCTATAAAAAGAAAAACTAAATGTTAGTTATTTGTTAATCAGCAATTAATGCAAAAATAATGAAATAATTTAAAAAGAATAATTTTAAAAAATATACTTGTTTATTTTCCATGTAAACAAATCCTGAATGCACAAAGAAATCAGAATTTGTTCTAGGTCCATAACTAATAAATATTTGCTCCCCTTTTTTGAAATCTCTTAAAGCGTAACATTCACAATAGTTTGATGTCGCATTAAAATCTGTAGTGATCTGGAAAAACATCCATAACTCATATTATAATATTATATAATTTTCTGTATAGGAAATATTAATAATCTTTAAGATTCGTTTCATTTTACTATAAATGTTTCAATATATGAACAAACTTACTCTCCCGTTCTCATGATTGCACATGTCCCACATCGGTATCAAAGCATGGATCATGCGTGAACCATCTTCGCTTGGAATTAGATTTTGTCTTGTCATTACCGTAGAAACTGCCCAGCTATAACATTAATATTATAATTGCAAAATTTACTATGCTTATGTTGACACAAGCAAAAAAAAAAAAATTTCCTGAAAAAACAAAACTTTTTATTGGAATCTTTGTAATTTGTTTTTTTATAAAACTGTATTTCTTCATGGAATATATAAAAAAGTATTAATCATTTAAATAGCAGTCATCATAACTTTTTTCTTATTTTTTAATTAATGTAAAATATGTGTGCCAATAGTTGTTTTTATTAAAATTTAGAATTAATCATCCTAATCATTAGAATGATCTGAATTATAAATGGAACTGTAAATACGATTGAATTTCGATAACTTGAAATTATAATTTGAAAATCGAAATATAGCGAAAATTTTCTCGAATCGAAATATATTTTTCATGTTCTTTGTAATCCAAATTCAGAAAACTTTAATTTTTAAAATTAATAACAATAAATCAAAGTTCAATAATTACTTCTTCTAACAATAATTAGAATATTCATCATGCTTTCACATCGAGCTAATCATCTTTTATCAATCAATTGTCATTTGTCAGTCAAGTATCTGTCTAATTGTCATACATCTCATAACTCAACTTGATTTGTTACACATTTCCTTTTTTATTTATGCATATCTTTAATTGCCACTTTCACGTTTACATATTTAACTGTAGATATGATTATCTTTTTTGAGCGTTCGAAAAAGATAAGACAAAATCTCTGTAGTACGAAAGATTCGTGTTAAATCTAAATAAATCTTTAATTAAATCTTATATTTGTTTATTCGATATTCGATTCATCGATACAGATGAAATTAATATCAAAAGAAAATTGCATCCACAATTTTTTAATTATTTAGCAATTTATCACACGCAAAGATTGTGAAACTAAATAAAAACATTTCAGATGAAAAAGATTCTACAAAGAAGACTTTAATACCATAGCATCTATATAACGTGTAATTTGTCATTCGTCGGTTAATTAACTATTAGTTAACTAATTAGTTGATAATTAAACTCATCATGCAACAAAACTGTGAAACTAAATGACATTGGGAATGATAATGCTTCGAATAAAATCATTCTAGTAGAAGATTTCGATGTCGCAATATCGAAAGTATATTCGGACCACGGAAACAGTTGTCGAGAACGCGTGGAAGTAACTTTCGCCTTCGTGAGAGGCACGAAGCCTACACGCAGCAGCTGTATCTGCTTTTCGGACAAGAACTTGACCCACAATTCCGGAAATGGAAATAAAAGAAGATTCATTGCCATCGTCCTCGTGGTAGTCGTCGCAATGGCCGTGGTTCCCTCGACTTTCTCTCTCGCCGAGGAAAACATTTGCCAGGAATCGAGTGAAATAAAAAAAAAAATCATTATTTACAAGGGAGAATACAACGGGCACCATGTATGGTTGAATACATGTTGAATTCGATACATAGAATGGCAACGAAAGCGATGGATGAAAAAAAAGAGGGAAAAATTTTAGACGTACACTTTCTAAAATACGCGATACACGCGCTTATGCGAGACATATATTCATGTAGAAAGGTTTTTATGAATTTTTTGAACTGGCTTCTAGATCAATTTCTAATGTTAGAGTGAAGAAAAATAATAGAAGAAGAATGAATTTTACTTTTATTGTTTTCTCTTTTTGTATGTTATGTTGATTGTATCGATGCTTTTTTATCGTTTTGACCATTGTTTGAATAAATATTTACACGAATTAAAGTTTAAATATTTATTCGAGAATTTTTTTTATGCAATTTATTTGTTGCAGGATTAAAATTTTGTATTTATTCTTCTCCAAGTTACGGTTCAAAAAAGAATCTCGAATGGCTATATCTATTTTTAATTATTTTTCAAACAATTCATTCGGAATAATAACAAATAATTTATGTATGTGATATATCCTATATTTTATTTTATACTTTATTTCAAATAAATTTATCCAAAAATAATTTTTTTACGTAGAATGGTCACAATAGAACAGGACAAAAATGGATATTATAAATGAAAACTCTGATCGAGATCGTTCTGCTTCGTTATTAGATTACTTCCTCTTACGTAGAGGAAGGAAATCTGTCTTCAAAAGCAAATTTTATGATCGACAAATATGATATACGATGGCTGTTGGAAAATATCCGGTCAAAACGTAATCTCATTATTGAATTAAACTTTTCCTTTTCCGTTTCTACATCAGTTAAATTTATGTAAAATGTTACTTATGTTATTTATTAGTAGATTAGTAATTAGCAAAAATTAATTATAAGAAATAACAAAATACATCGATTAATGATTATGTAAATTCGCTTAAAAAATCATATATGCAAATCATCGTCTGACATTAACACCTCCGCATAACATGTCAACATGTTTCACAACATATTTCTCAATCTTTCTTAACCTTCTATATTTATATATTTTTTTTCTACGATGATTAAAATTATTAGTGATTTTGCATATTTGAGAAAAAATTGATACAGATAAGTTAAGTTACAAAATCCTCAACACTTTCATCTTAACGGTACCTTAGAAGAAACTTGACATTGTCATGATTGTTCTAACGAGTGTCTAATCTGTAAACTTTCACATATTACAGTTCTAAATATGAGAAATATGTGCAAAATGTCGAGGAAAGTTTGAAGAAAGTAAATATTAAGAAAAATTAAAAAAAAAAAACAATTTATAATAAGAGAGAAAATGAAGAAATACGAAATAAATACGTAATTTTTTATCAAATATTCTTGTTAATATCCATCATAAGATATTAATTCACCGATGAAAAAGTTACAAATTATGTACAAGGAAGCAGAAAAAAGTAAAAAGAATGAAAGAAAAGAAGAAATGAGAAAAACAAATCCAACTATTCATTGTCAAATTAAGAATCAACGCGTAACAAGTTTTTCATCTAACAACGATCACGATAAATAATTCATCGTGAACAGGCCGCGAGTGAAAAGAAGGGTAATGCGATTCAGCAAATCAGCTGGGAAACTTGAAGCGAGCAGACACATTTATGTGATAATAGAAAATTATATCCCGTGGAAAAAGAACGGGAAAAGGGAATGTTAGCTTCTCGTGCGTACCACAGCGAGAAGATAAAACCGTATGAAAGTTTCGGATTCGTGTGAAAGTGCGCGGAATCTTCTCTCGATTCTATTACATTCTTGAGAACCATGAGCATCTCGTTGGATAGCGGAGACAATTGAAAGCAGAATTGAATAAATTTTTACTTTTAGACGAATTAAAAAATAATTGATACGATTTAATTCTTTATTTTTCGATTGTGAATTTTATTTATTCTAATAATTCTAAATTAAATAAGTAGACGATTTCTCTTTATAAAATATTATAATTGTGGTAAGTTGGAATAACCTTCTAATCTTTACAAATTATTAAATGATTATATAAGTGTATAACTTTAATCTTATAATTCAAATTTTATAACAATTTTATTAATATTTTTATGTTCTAGTAATTATCAAGTCGGTGTAAAAAAGATTTATTTCATGGCAGTTAGCTTCCATATTTATTGATAATAAATTTATCAACAGTTGAAATAGAGATTGCACAATTGTTAATGTCATTTATGAACGCGCAAGAAATTGACACTCTTTTTGATGAATATGGTTGTATCATCGTGCCATTTTAAGAGTACCAAGCTTTTCCAAGGTACATAAATCTATGTCGCATAATATATCATGAGAATCAATATACCTCATGAATATTTGAATTCTTTTTTGAGTAAAATAATGATTCCATAAAGAGATAAAAAGTGAAATCTAATTTTTATAACTTTCGTTGTTTTTTTGAAAATGAAAGATTTTTATATGATTAATCAAACAAAGAAATTTTACTTGTAAAACTGTACCGATTAATTTAGAAAAAAATATATTTTAATCAAAACAAGATAAATGTAAATATATTAAGTATTTAACGACAGAGACAATTTATTTTCATTAAACAATATTTGAAATAACTCATTTGTATTCAGAATAATACATATATATTTAGTCTTATGTGTATAATCAATAAAAACACATAAGCAAACTGTATATAAAAGAAACAATGGTTGTATTAGTTGCGACAATTATAAGCTTTTTATATATATTATATATATAAATTTATTCATTGGCCATTTTAATCTTCGAAGGTCGAAACTTTCGGTAACAGTGGGTCAAAATGATTTAAAAAATATATGTATCGATGATCCAAAATAATTGATCTAGAAACACTTATTAATATCTACATAAAATAATAATAAAATAAAAATTGATTAATTATAAAAGAAAAATACACATCATGCTAAATAATTATTAATTAAAATCTAAAAACTAGTTGAAACATACGAATATCGTGGAAAGGCAAACTAATTGTGCGTAAGAAATACGTATCCGATTAATTTTTTAACAATTAAATAAATTTGTAATTACATTTAAATGTAATATGAAACAAGCAATTCAATAATTAATAGTCTATTTACAAATATTTTTCTACAAAAACAGAATCAGAATTGGCATTCAACTAACAGTACTAAATTTCAATAGAACTTAGTGAAGAACTACTTTAACGTAACTATTTTGTATATATTTAAACCATAAGTATAGAATACCTATTTATTTTCTGCAACCTTACATACCGCATAATTTTGTCCTCTGGTCCAAAGCAAATTCGCGTGACAAAAAAATATATCAATTAAACCAATTACTATATTAAATAATTAAATAATTAAAGGCAGTTTTATTATTATCTCAAATATAATTCTAAATAATTAGGAACAGTCATACAATAATTTTTAAAATTTATAAATTTCGTATTTAATCCGTTAACTAGACCACTTCTTTACAAGCATTTTCAAATATAAAATTAGAAAATAATAATTTTAGCTATAATATAAATAAAATTGCAAATAGTAATAATTGAATTTTTTTCAAAAAAAAAATTTTCAGCAATAAAAAATACAATTTGTCAAGCAATGCATAATCCAAGAATTACTTAACAAAAGCTCTCTAAAAAATATATATATATAGTGAAAAAACTCTCTTGATGTAAATAAAGTCTCAAATAAAACAATAATTAGAATAATAGATCGGATAAATATTCCTCTGAACTCTTATTCCGTCTCTTATTTGTCAAAGTTTGCTGCCTCACAATTCTGGCTCTCACTTTAATTGAATAACTCGTGCAACGAGTAACGCATTCTTCACAATCATTTATCCTGGTATACGCGCATTCACTCCTTTTCCATTTCATTTCACTTCGAGTATTCCATTCTTGAAAGGCGTTCAAACACACCTACACAAAACTTTGAGTTTCACTCTTCTTCCTTAACGCTCGTTTTATATATTAATTTGCAAATCCATCACCCTGTTTTAAATTACGTTTCACGATGTAAGTATGTACACACAATCTAACTTAATCTCGTTAATTAAATTTTCATCTCGACAGTTTATTTCTTTATTACAGCCTATAACATAGTATTATATAATATACTTTACCGTATAAAATGTAATATATTCAGACTACTATTAAACGTAATATACTATCATTTTCTCATAATCATTAGATACTACAAAAGGAAAATATATATATATACATATCGTTCAGAATAAAAACATTTCAATGCTATAAAATTGAGGTTCCATCGTATTAATATCGATATGATAATTATACACGCGTCAAAAAAATAAATTCTTCTTCGTAATTTCTGATTACAATATTAAATTATAAGTAAATTATATTAAACTATACACCACTATATATCTAAACGAATAAAAATTATCTTTTAGATGATTCACCCTAAGCGAGTTTAGAAGCGACGCGTCGTTTAATTAGAGAGGAAAGTGCGGCAGAAGCGTGGCTAACGAGCGCGAATGGAAGAGAGTCGATGACGACGATGACGATGACGACGGCGACAACGACGACGATACAACGCCGAGAACAAAAGGAAACGAGAATAAAAAAACGAGTCGCGGTGCCAGTTTCGCAATATCGCGGCTCGACGGCAAGATAGATAAAGATCGAGAGACGAGCACACTGGCGAAGCTTCTTGCACATCGTGGGGATGGATGCACAGTCCACTGCACGTGGGAAGGTCGTGGCTATGAATCGAAGATCGTGAGATCTCCGCAAAGAGCGCACTTTCTATTAGGATTCACTTTACCTGAGGTTCATCGAGTTGCACCGTGATGCACTTCGAAATTGTCGCTGAAATTCATCTTGAGAAAATATATTATAGCGATAAATTTATATCGATATATTTCGAGGTCACACAATGTGATTTATTCTCAGAAACGGGAGAAAATTGATCTTCTTGAGTATTTTACATGTTACACTTTCGTGAAATTGATTGAATAGAAACTCCGTCCATGGTTTATGAATAGAAATGTTAGTAAGCTAGTGTGGATGATCGTATGGATTATATTTGGAATCGTGGTACGATCGAAAAATGATTCGTTTGACTTAAAAGTGAAAAAAGATATCGAATAAAATATTTTCCATTTTTTTGAGAAAGTTAGATTTGAAAATTCTTACTTCAAATCTTTCAAACTTCGAAGAGAAAAAATTATTGACTCGTTTATTTTCTCTGGTTAACGGCCATCGATTTCTGCGAGATTTCACCAAGTAAGTGCCATCCGCGGAGAAATTTTAGAATAATAAAATGAAACTAGCCTACTATTTTGTTCAGAAGTTTTAACTTCTTTCTTTCTTTTTACGAGATATTATTTGAATGACAAAGAATTGCAACGAAAGGAAATTTAATTATTTTTAAAATGTATATCTATATATGATTCGCAAATAAATTAATTAAAAAGTAATTTCACTTCCTAAATATCAAAATTCTCCAAATAGCGAAGAAGATTTATTAAATTTATTCTTGCACGAATCGAAAATAAATTAATTATTATTCGATTACATTATTTAATTACTAAATAAATAAATTTAATATTTCTTCTAAAGTTTTTCACAATAGTAATTCTTCATCCGATCTAATGATATAACAATATGAAAATCTTTAACAAAAGAAATTTCAATCTTTACTCATCATCGCGGAAATTTTATGAAACAGAGATTGCACAACTGTCGCATAATTAATCAAATCATCAATTGTATTTTTGTATTCCATAAGAATTGGTAATGTGAGAAAAATTCTCCTTTGTATCTTCGTAGTTGTTTTAATATACAGATGAATATATAGAATATTTTTTTTTTAATTGGAAACTTTTAAGTAGAATATCTCACATTAATTTTTACATCAATGGCAAAAGTTTTAGACGTTACTTAATTTCTGATTTTAATCTTTTAATAAAATTCTAAATATATATCGCAAATTCTCGTAATATATATCGCAAAATGTAAAAAAACGAGTGTCCAATTGGATTGATTTGAAAATTTTTTAAAGAAATAATAGATTTTTAATTTTACGATAAGTAAAAGAGTATATGATTATCCGAATATTAAATATTAACACAAGAATTAACTCTAATCCGGATTAACCCAAAGATTACTTTTTCTATATTGTCTGGCATATAATTAAAAATTGGTTATCTTCTCTTTAAGAGATTTTCAAATATAAGCTTAAAATTATCAGAAATTAAAAAAATATCGTAAATTTTAACCATTGATAACAAAATTTAGAATTAATCCTTAGAATTTTTTCATTCCATTTCTTCAAAGATCTACAAATTTTTTTACATTTCTGAATTTAAACAAGATTTCTAAAATATTTCATCTGTAAAAAATTTTGTATAAAAAGTTAAAGTATATATACATGGTAAATATTTCTGTATATAAATGAAGTTATTGCATATACAAATCAAATCGAAAAAAAATAAAAAAATAAATGTATTTAAAAATATTGAATAATTGAATATATCAACGATCGGACGAAATAAAAAACAATAGCTTAATTTTCAATAAAACATTGAGGTATTGAGCAAAAAGATATAAATACATGTATTGAACTTCTTATCGTTTAAAAATACAATAAAAATGCAAAAATAAAAATCAGAATCGAGAAAATGAAATGTGCAATTAAGTCAAAAGAATATTTTATTAAAAAATATGAATCTTCTTTGTATTGTATAGTTTCACTTTTTCACACGATTTATATGAATCTTATATGATCTTTTTTAATATATTATGATTGTTCACAATCACGCGATTTTTTAACATATTTTATTCATGTTTGCACACTGTTTTTTCATACTGTTTTATATTTCGTTTTATAAACAAATAAATCGAGAATATTGAATAAAACATCAATTTCTAAAAAAAATATTTTCAAGACAAAAATCTTAAAATTAAAAAAAAAATTTCTCAAAAAATTAACATCGAATAAAATATATTTTTAAAGATAGATTTCAAGAAAAACTCTATTTTTTTTTGTTCTTTCTTAAAAATTATCAGTATTAATATAATCAAAATTATAATTTCACTCCTTCGTGAATTCAATCTCATAATATTGAAATCTACGATGAGTTCAAACATAATTAAGAATGCATATGTGTCAGACAAATATCTAATCCTTCGTATGTCTTGACAGCATTTTGCAATACCACTTGTATTAAAATATTGCCATGAACTAAATACTTAGAATATAGCTAAGATATAAAAATATTCTTTCACTATCTTCTGAAATGCTATAAAATAAGCAAATTAATTATGCTTAGAATTTAATAATATTACTTCTTTAACTATATAAAAAACATTATAACTTTACAAACTGTCAAAGTAAAATTTTAATTAATCATAAAACTAATCATAAAGTCCATAAGAAAATACGAATTCAAATTACAACAATCTCTATTTTTTCTCTTTCCATTCTCTATTCTTTATTTGTATACCAATTACTAATTTCTGACATATTTAACATTTACAAACAAAAGAAACGCATTTTCTCCCACGCATTATCCTAATCTATCCAAAATATTCTTTCTAACGAATTTCTTTCGTCCTCGATCAAGCATAAATCTCAAATCTCGAAAAACTGCACAAAAGATCCTTCCGTCCATCGTTTCGCAATTTCTCCTCCGCTCATCAGAAATAAAACATTCCCTATTCCTCGCGAGGCAACATCTTCCGGAATCCGCAATCGAATCTATCGAACCGTGTCGCGTGGATCATCCTCCCCTCGTCTTCCTCCCATCGCAGCAACGAGGAGGAAGGATCTTGGGGCAACTTGCGGCCGATCACCGTGATGAAATTCATCATCGGCGATCCAACTGTGGCCCCGTGTGGAACAGGAGAGCGTACCCCGGCCAACCACGTTTT